CCTAGAGGCTCCAACGCCCAGGTAGGGCGGAACTGGGATAATTTTGTAAAACAGGACGAAGTGCACGCGCGCGTCGTCGCGCGCGCATGCCGAAATCCTTCTAAAACTTTCGGCCCCGCAAAAATGTCAAATTCGAGTGTCCGAAAAAAAACATATAAAACATATGGCTTCGCAACAAGGGGTGCCAAGAAAAGCTTGCGTTCGCACTATATCAAATTCTAAACGTTGCGCGTATCCCCACCAGCCCATCCAGAAACGATGTCCAGGCGAGCTGAGGTGATCAGGGAAGTGCGGCCGCAAAGAGGAGGACGGTCGAACCGTGCAAAGAAGCGAGGAGGAGAAGGAGGAGGCGGATGGATGGATGAGGGGGTGGGAAGATGGAGAATGAATAGGATGAGGAGGAGATGGAGGAGGAGGAGGGGGAGGAGGAGGAAAAGGAGGAAGAGAAGGAGTAAGAGCAGGAAGGACGAACAGGAGGAGGAGGAGGGCAAGCACAAGGGCCAGAGGTCTCTCGAATGCCTCTCGGAGCCTCTTGGGGTATCTCTTGGGCGATGTTTGATGGCCTCTTGGGAAGTCTTGGGGGTCTCATGACGATCCTGGGGGGCTCTTCGGGGTCTTGGGTGCCTCGGGGGGGGGGGGGGGGCAGGGTCTTTTGGTGGGCCTCCTGGGGGCCTTTTTAGGGTGTGTTGGGGCCATCTTGGGACCTCTTGGGGCCTCCTGGGCGCTTGTTGGGGCCATCTTGGAAGAGATCGGTCAACGAAGGGGGTGTCCTCAATTGACCCCCCCCCCCAGGAGGCCAAAATGGGACCAAAACCCTAGTGAAATCAATGGTTGTTGCTTCCTCGCCGAGACCGTTTTGGACGCTCTAACTACCCGCGCCCCCCCCGTACAGGTCCAGGGGAGGGTGTCGGGGGAGGGGTAAACCCCTCCCCGAAGGGGAAGAGGGAGGGGTGGAAGAGGAAACGCCCTAAACCACCGACGCCCAGAGGGCTGGTGGGATTCTAAAGAAAACTATAGGTTGTTAAACATATCCATAACATGCTACCAAAAGGGGATTCGCGCGCGCGCATGTCGAAATCGTTCGGAAGCCCTTTTATGCGCGCGTGTTGTCGCATGAATCCTTTTGCAAAATCTGGGACGAAGTGCACGCGCGCGCGTCGTCGCGCGCGCATGCCGAAATCCTTCAGATACATTCGACGTCGCAGAGGTTTCAACATCGAGTGCCAACAAAAAACATACACAGAACACATGGCTTCGCAACAACAGTTTTCAAGAGAAACGGCGCTCGCGCTCTTGCAGATTCTTAAGAATAGACCATTGGTGTTGTTCAACATGTTCAAAACATGCTACCAAACGAGCCTCTCGCGCCGCATGCCGAAATCGTCCGCGCGCCCTTGCGCGCGTGCTGGGGGCGCACGATCCGTATCAAATAATACCACGCGGGCCACCCTCCGCGCGTCGGCCGCGCGCGCGCGCGTCGAACTCGTTCCAACACCTTCTTCACCGACGCGACGACACCGTCATCGTCGTCGACGTGATCAGCATCGGCGCCCGCACTGGCCGTGACGTCTTCGTTGTCAACGTCGTCACCGGCATCGCTACTATCATCGTCGTGTCCAGTCTACCGTCGTCGACGGTGCCATGATACCGCGCTCGCGTCGGTCGCGCCGAACTAGCTGGCTGCTGCGCGCGCGAACATGCGAGGGCCAGCGCGGCCACAGAGACGCACTGGCCAACACCAATCACTCATCGCAATCGCCTCCGCATAGCTTTTGCAAACCAAAGTGCGGGTGGGTGGGATGATTGCGCGAGCAGTGAAGTCGACAACTTCAAGTTCGGCAGGGCGAATTATATTGCATAGATTGCACCTCGTATATTGCACCACATACGTCGCATCGCATACATTGCACCACGTTGATTGCACCGCCTAGATTGCAATAGCGTGCTGTTCGGGGTCCACGCTAGCTGACATGAGTTCTTGTTGCTTGTCCAGCCTTGGATGCCCCAAGACGCTGGATGTCTGGGCCGGGGCACCTCGCCATGTTGTTTTACGGCGTGGACCCCCAGAGGTCAGGACCCGTTCCGTGGGGACCCAATTTTCATCCCAAGTCTTTTCATGTCGCGGAGGGAGGTCTGGGGATCTGAGATCCGGGAGAGATTCTGAGAAGAAGCAGGCCCTCCTCCTACTCCTGCTCCGGGTCGCCATTTTTTACGTTGCATTGCCTTTGCTTAGCCGAGGCGCGGCGCACATCCTCCTCCTCCTCCTCCTCTTTCTCTTCCTCCCTCATCCTCCTCCTCCTCCTCCTCCTCCTCCTCCTCCTCCTCCTCCTGTCCAGATGGGGATGGGTCCCCGTGCTCGCGCGAGCGCCGCGGTCGCGCCTCCCCTGCGGGAGCGCGGCTTTTGCCGCTTCGATGGGGCGTGGAGGGCGATGCGGCCCGTCGGTCCGCCATGGCGCCGCGCTCACCTTCGCGGGCACCGTGGGCGAAGCCGCCGAGCTCATGCTCCTGCAGGCGGCTGGCACGGCGGCGGCGAGGACGCCAGCAGCGGCGGAGGCGCAGGCCGCGGGGCCCTTTCTCCGCGCGGCCTGCACGCGGCCGACGTCGTGAGCCTGCCAGGAGGCCGCCGGCAGCGGTGGAGGTGCAGGCCGCGGGGCCCCTCTTCCGCGCGGCCTGCACGCGGCCGACGTTGTGAGCCTGCTGGCAGGCCGCACCTGGACGGCGGGCCTGGGCCAGATCCGCGCCCGCGGGCGTCTGCTGCCGACGGCCCCTCGAGCGGGACTGCCGCGCGCTCGACCTCCTCCTCCCTCCTCCTCCTCCTCCTCCTCCTCCTCCTCCTCCTCCTCCTCCTCCTCCTCCTCCTCCTCCTCCTCCAGCCGGCTCCAGCCGGCTCCTCCGGCCGGCTCCTCCTCCTCCTCCTCCTCCTCCTCCTCCTCCTCCTCCTCCTCCTCCGCCGTAGCCATTTTGGCTCAAGGCCATGGCGCGCGGCGGCGTCCAAATGGATACCGCTGTGCCGCGGCCAGGAGTCGAGATTCCTTTGCAGCCACCCCCAGGGCGAGCTGCCGCCAAAGACTGGTCCGCCTGGACCTACAGTTTTGTGCCCGCGAGGGCTCTCCATCGCAACGCATGGCGGCCGAGGAGGAGCGGCGCAGGGCTGGTCGCGCTGGTGGCGGCCACCGTGGCCCTGGCGCTGCTGATGGGCGGAGGCGTGCTGACAAAGGCAAGGAGCAGCCTCCCGCCGAGGACCTCCGCTCGGCCTCCCGCAGCACCAACGAGCGAGCTCCTGCGCGGAGGCGAGCTCGGCGGGGCCACCCGCGCTCCGACGGCGAAGCGGATGCCTCGGGCTCGCCGGCCAGTGATCGAGCACGCCATGGACCTGGGGGACTCGACCGTGCTGCACAGGATGAGCTTGCCGCTGCCTTCGAGGCCGCGGCCACCTTCCCCTCGCAGGAGCGGCAGGCCATGCAGGTGGAGCAGGCACCCACTGGCAACCCACAAGCTGGGCCTCAGCACGCTCCGCCTGACCCGTGGCAACGACCTGGTGGGGACCCGTGGCATGATCGAGCTGCTCCTGCCGACGGTCACGCTGTACCTCCTGCGGCGGGCACTCCCATCGGCGGGATGGCCACCCCCGTGGATGCTGGCGGCATGGACATGCAGGCCATGCTGCAGAGCTGTATTCGCCAAGCTACCGATGCCATCGCCGCTACTTCCATGGCACAAGTCACGTCATGCCAGACGCAGCTGGTGCGCATGTTTCAGACCCAGCAGGAGGCCGTCAACAGATCCCTCGCAGTGCAGACGCGCGACATTGCTTCCATCGGCCAGCGCGCCGACGCCCTGGAGGCGGAGCAGGCCGCCTGCGCAAGCAGATCGGCGACATCAACAAGGCCTTGGCCCTCGCGGAGAAAGAGCTGCCCCTCATGGACTTTCAAGAGCTGGAGGCGTGGTCTCGTCAACCCAACCCGCGGATCTTCTCGATCGGAGCGCCGCAGTTGGTTGGACCCGCCCAAGCGCTGCAAGGCCTGGAGGAGTGGATTCGGGCTGCTGGCCTCACCAACGACATGGTCCGCCTCGACCCTGCGGTCCCCTCCAAGCGCTTCAACGTCCTGGTGCAGGGCGGCGACGGTGTCGCACTACCGCGAGCCCAAGCTCTTGCACGACAGCTACGTGACCCTGCTGGCAGGAACGGGTGGCGAGCCTTCTGCGCCCAGAGCGTCGGCGGTGGCACCGTCCCGCTGTACATCTCGCCCGACAAGTCACCGCAGCAAGTGCGAATGGAGATTCAGTCGAGGAGGCTCTCGGCCCTGTTGGCAGAAGCTCATCCTGATCTCTCTTTCAGTGCTCAGCGAGCCCGTGGCATCGTCACCTTTCAGGGCGTCAAGGTTGCCAAGCTCGAGATGGGCGAATCCCGCTACACCGACACGATCATCAGGTGGAACCCAGGCATGGTTGCCATGCTGCACATCGACAGGGAGTCCATCAACATGCAGTTCAAGAAGGCCTTCTCCTTGGAGGACAATGCCGAGTGGATTTAGCACCCCTCTGTGGGCGCCCTGGCGTCCCCCTGGCGGTCGACATGGCTTCCGCGGCCTTCACATGGTAGCGTGGAACGCCCGTGGCCTGCTCCACTCGGACGCGAGGCTGCGTAGACGCAAGCTGGCACTGCTCGCATCGTACATGAAGGTCAACGCCATCATCGCTGTGCAGGAGGTCCACGGCTCCGAGGACGCCCTCGGGATCTTCCTCCAGGCGCAGCCGCAGAAGTACTTGAGCTTCCTCTCGCCTGGCCCTTCTGCTGCCGTGGGTGGAGTCGCCTTTCTCGTCCCTCGACACGTCGATGAATGTCCAAGGGCGGAAGGACCCAGAGCCGAATCTCTGGGAAGCAGGGGCGCTGCGCCGCGGGAGGGTTCCCATGCGTGCGCTTCGCCTCCTGCAGCATCCTTACCGACTCAAGATACCTGGTCAAGCACACGAACCTCCGCGTCTTCATCGGCAGCAAGTCGCCCCGACACCTGGTCAAGTACACGAAGTCCCCCGTCGACATCCACGTCAATGCCGAACTACACCCGGTCAAGCTCACGAAACGCCACTCCTGCCCTGCCGTCCTACCGCTTCGACATAGTGGCGGCCGGCCGCGCGGCGCTCCTCACGATCACCAACAGCACGGGCAAGTACAGCATGCAGATCTTCAACATCCACAACTACGACCTCAAGCCGCACGAGTTCTCTGCTATACAGCGCACTTGGTCCAGTGGCCTGGCGCGGGCGCGTGACTCGTTACATCGCATCTTCCTGGGCGTCGGGGACTTCAACATTGCCTCCCGTCCGCCAGTCAGTCAACGTGCGCCCTCTGACGCTACGGCGTGGCGCCTACGACCTGATCACCGATGCCAACTTCGGCAACCTGCGTGGCGCCGCCTATTCGCTGCTGCCATGGAGGTTGAATCCCAATGGCCGACTCACTACGACAAGTCCTGCAAGCAGCTGTCCACGATCGACCGCATCTTCTTGGGCATCGACGCGCACGCCATGCTTTCGGTCTCAACGATCCTGACCACCGCGAGGGATGCGATGGAGCTCTCCGAGGCGGGCATCAGTGACCACGCGCCCCTCGTCCTGCAGATTACTGCCGCTCGCCGCGTCCCTCGAGACGAGCAGCCAATCCCGACGCACCTCTTCAACCACAGGAAGTACCCCGAGGCCTACTCGCTCATGCTGGACCACTGTGCCCTGGCGGGGGAAACGGCGGAAGGTCGTTGGAGAGCAGCGAAGCAGTGCATGAAGCTTGCTGCGCGACGTGTTCGGGACGAACAGTTGAGGACCAACTTCTCCCTCCTCGTCAAGGACTCCACGGTCGAGACCTCGTACATGGGGTTCAAATCGGCGGCGCGAGCCGTTTGGCGACAGGACGCTGTCCTTGCGGGTAGGCTTCTCGACTCCTGCCCCGCGATGGCTGCCCACCTCCAAGTTACCGACGGCAACGTGCACATCGTGGACCCTAACAGCTTTGCCACTAACTTCGACGCCATCGCCGAGCGGGTGCGCTCTCTGAGAAGGCAGGCGGCGGAGGCCGCAGCTCGGACCGCCAACGTGCGCGACAGCGCAGCCTGGCGGAGAGTTGAACGCAAGGCCGCCAGACATGCGCAGCTCTGGGTTCCGCGGCGGCGTCGCATGATCCTCTCGGGCTTGCGCGTGGACTCCGCCCCGTGTGCCGCCAAGGACTCGCAGGTGGCTCAGCACGTGGTCACCGACCCCGCGGGCATGAAGATGACTGTGGCGAACTACTGGGGTGAGATCTTCGCGAAGGTGCCGAATTCTGAACAGCTCAAGACACTGGGCACATTCTTGGACAAGCATGCACCGAGGAACCCTGTGGTGGAACTTCCTCAACCTGCCCTTCACAACCTGGAACGAGCGGTCAGCAGGGCACCACCAAGCGCTGCGGGACCATATCAGCTGACGTATGCAGCATGGCGCCGCAGCCCTGGAGCTTTGCAGCATCTCCATGGGCTCATGGAAGCCCTCTTCAACGACGGAGTTGCCCCGCTCGCCCTCAACTGGTCGATCTTCATATGCGTCCCTAAGGGAACGGAGGAGGACGACGTCCCAGACTCCTGCACGCGCACGGCATCCTCGGTGCGCACCCTCTCCCTCAAGAACTGCGACGCCAAGCTGATTGCGGCCTGCGCGGATCGAGGGCTCCAGCCTATTGCCACTTCATCTACTTCACCCGAGCAGAAGGGCTTCACTGCTGGGCGGCGTTTCGTCGACCACATACCGTTCTTGGACGCGGAGTGCCGCAGGGAGGGCCTCCTTCCTGATGCTGTGACCCGCCGCCCCATGTTCCTGTCGTTCGACTTCCGCCAGGCCTTCCCATCGCTCTTCAGGGAAGTCATCGAGAAGGTCCTCCCGCGCTTCGGGGTCCCACTGGGCTTCCGCAACGTGATCGAGGCGCTCTACAGCAACTGCCTCGCCTTCAGCTCCTTCCGTGCCGAGGGCACCAGTGCGGAGCTCGAGCCGTTGTTCGCGCTCATGTGCGGTATCATGCAAGGATGCCCGCTCTCTGGCACGGTCTGGTGCTTGGCGATGGATGCCCCCATCCGTGCCCTGCTGGCGGCGATCGCCGAGCATGAATCCCTCGCGGCCTGCGCGGACGATCTCGGGATGCTGATCAAGAACGCGGTCGCCCTCCCGAGCATTGACCACACCTTCGTCTCCATAGAGCTCGCCTTCAATCTGCAGCTGGCCTTGCACAAGTGCGTGCTGGTCCCGCTGTGGGAGGAGATCACGGACGACACATTGCAGAACGTCAAGTCCTTCCTCGCTGAGGAGGTCCCCCGCTGGATGGGCTTCCGCATCGACTCCTCGGCCAAGTACCTGGGAACTCACCTGGGCCCTGGCGTCACGGACTTCGGCATCTGGAAGGCTGCGGCGGGGAAGTGGTGGACCCGCTGCTGGGAGCTGGCGCGCACGGGCATGGCCACCAGCCTTGCGGCCCGCGCGTGCAACATCAACGCGCTGCCGTGCCTGTCGTACCTTGCGCAGTTCTGCTTCATCGTGCCCGCCATCTGGAAGGTCGAGTTCACCTCCCTGCACCGCTTGCTGCGGTTGCCGCCGTCGTCCATGCGCAAGGCTGACATCCTATCGTTGAGCGCGTGGTGTGGCTCACCGTCGCCAATTGGCCTCTCCCCATACACGATCGCCGCGATGATGCGCTCGGCGGAGAACACGGTCCGTGGATGGGAAGCTCACCTCCGCCACCTCCATGAAGCTGCAGTGGAGCATGTTCCGCTGACCGACGTGATCAAGGGCAACTGGTCCCCACCGTGGTGGCGGACGAGGAGGGCGATCGTGCAGAACTACGCCTTGATCTCGGATGCGTACGGCCAGCTCGACATTCCCAGACCGACGCTTGACACGATCGCGGTCCCGATCCCGAGCAGGTTCATCCAGAAGGCGAAGTCGGCGATGCTCCTGGAGACGAAGGCGGCGGCCGCAGCCACTCCTCCCAGGAAGCCCAAACGACAGGCCACGGCCGCTGCTGTGCTCCGTGGCTCGCTGTACCCCGAGGACCTCGTGCCCACCTTCCACCGCCGGCTGCGCAGGTGGGGGGTCGAGTGCTCGTTGCCCGTGCTGCGCGAGAGATGGCCTCCGCTGCGTAGCAAGCTGACGGAGGTCCGCCCTGCCTGGATGTGGTCGTGGATGCGCACGGCGGTCAATGGCTGGACGACCTCGCGCCGCATGAGCGCCGTCATCGACGCACGCCCGTGCTTCTTCGGCTGCGACGACGAGGATGCGCTCGAGCACTACATCCACTGCCCGATCCTTTGGGCGATGGCCGCGGGCGACACGGGAGCGGACGCCATCGGCAACGGCCTGGAGCTCCTCGGCTTCGGCGACGAGATGTACCACTCGAAGCGGCCCATCGCGGACTGCATCTACACCGTCGGCCTCATGTGCCAGTGCTACCACATCCAGAAGTATCGGATGGACGTGGGCCTGGCCGTGGGCGCCGACCAGCGGGCTAGCGTGAGGCTGGCCGCGCTCCATGCCATGCAGGCTTAGGCGTGGCTGCAGCTCAACCTGCCCGCCGAGCTTCGTGCCCTCCTCCTCCTCCTCCTCCTCCTCCTCCTCCTCCTCCTCCTCCTCCTAGGCAGCGGGCACGCTCCTCCGCTAGCCATGCGAGGCGGAGGCCGCCGTCGCCAGGCTGTGGGACTGGTTGTCGGACGGCGGCGCTTGGCACGAGAGCGACGAGAAGGAGGAGGCCGGGGAGAGCGGCAGCGCAACCGACCGCGCTCCTGCCCTCACAGCAGCGCGGGGAGCGACCTCCCTGCCCACGAGCCGCCTTTTCCCAGCGCTGGCGGGACCGCTGCAGGAGGCGGCGCTGAAGGAGTACGAGGAGGCGCCCGACTCTGAGGAGCGGCACGCCGAGAGCAGCAGCACGACCGAGGAGCAGCACGGCATCGGGAGCTTCGAGGGGGCCATTGGCATGGACTTCATGGAGACCGACCTCAGGGCAGAGACCGAGCTGGAGTTCTTCGATTCCGCTGACGGGTGTGACTCGGAGTTGCAGGGCACCTAGAGCAGCAACATCACGCAGCAGCACGTGCAGGTGCACCTCGAGGAGAAGACCATGGAGAGCAAGATCGCTATGGAAGACGACTACGCCATGATCGACTTTACGACGGCGGGCGCGTGCATCGAGGGCAGCACGGGGTCCAGCGGCGACACCGATTCCAAGTTCCCTAGCACTATTGACGCAGGGATCCACAACCACACGGAGCGGCAGCACGAGCAGAGGCACCTCGAGGTGAAGGTCACAACGAGCAAGGTCGCTTCGGTCGACGAAGCCACCGTGATTGACATCCAAATGTAAGGCGTCAGCATCGAGAGCAGCTGAGGGCCCAACGGCGACTCCGAGGCCACGTTCTCCAAGTTGTTCAACGATGCCGATATGGTGGGCCAGATGGACACCAGAATGACGGAGCGTGACTCGGAGCGCGACGGCATCAGCTTCACGGACCAGGAGCTCGGTCATGGCCACGCCCGCCCTCATGAACGTGCAGAAGGCGCCGACGATGTTCATGAACATCCAGCCGCTGCACGGCGTGTCATCAAGGCGCTGAGCTGGGCCGACGTTCGCGACGACGGAGACCGCTTGGTCGACGGGAGCGTGGGCGACGCGCTGCCCGACGCCACAGACGAGATCGTTGCGAGCGCACTGCCGCACGGCAGGAGCACGCACCAGCTGAGCCCCGAGGCGCTGGAGCAGCTCAGGGCCGCCTTGGCAAGGCCCTCTCACGAGGAGCAGGGAGTCGGCCGCAGTCAGCGTGGGCGCGGCCTGGCGGCGAGGCGCGGCGACTCCACGCACATCTGGCGCTGGCCGTTTCGGCAGCGGCGCCGGCTGCCCTTTGCCCGTGCGGGGAGCGAGGCGCGGCTCTCTCCCGTGCTCTCGGTCCCTGCTGGGCGCGGCTGGGGATTCCCTCGGCCTTCGGGCCCCTCGGTTTTTGTTTCTGTCTGCGGGGGAGGGGGGGCCCTTCGGGAGCCCCTCCCTGCGGTTCCCCTCGCGCGGGCGGGGGGGGCGGGGCCCTCCCGGGCCCCCCGCCCCGCCCCGCCGCCTCGGGCGGGCGGGGCCCTCGCGGGCCGCCGCCCCCCGAGTCTGGCGGCGTGCTGCCTGCTCCTGGCTTCTTCCTCGGAGGCCTGTGATTGGGCTGCGTGCCCCCTCCTCCTCCTCCTCCTCCTCCTCCTCCTCCTCCTCCTCCTCCTCCTCCTCCTCCTCCTCCTCCTCCTCCTCCTCATCCTCCTCTCGTCCTCCTCCTCCTCCTCCTCCTCCTCCTCCTCCTCCTCCTCCTCCCCCCCTCCTCCTCCTCTCCTCCTCCTCCCTCCTCCTCCTCCTCCTCCTCCTCCTCCTCCTCCTCCTCCTCCTCCTCCTCCTCCTCCTCCCCTCTCCTCCTCCTTCCCCTCCTCCTTCTCCTCCTCCTGCTCCTCTTTCTCTTCCTCCCTCATCCTCCTCCTCCTCCTCCTCCTCCTCCTCCTCCTCCTCCTCCTCCTCCTCTCTCCTCCTCCTCCTCCTCCTCCTCCTCCTCCTCCTCCTCCTCCTCCTCCTCCTTCCTCACCGCTTGTGTCTCTCGAGAGGTCCTCACCGACGACGCTCTCGCAGCCGCCGACGCCGTGGCAGCCGCCGCGGCTCTGGCGCCGGCGGCGCCAGATGCCGGCGGCAGCGGCGCCGTGCTGGCCGACCTGGCGGCTGGCGCGGAGAGGTGCAGCGGCCTGGTGCGGCGGCTGCTCTGCGAGCTGGACTGCTCGGGCCGGACGAAGGGCGGTATCGGATACGGTCGGGAGTTTTGGTTTAGCGGCTTAGCGTGACGTTCCGCGGGATCTGGCCCACCACGCTTCGGCGCGACACGCTATCCATACTCCAGTCCCCGAGCGTCAACGTCCCGAGCTTTTCCCAACCTTCCGCCCCGCGAAGCAAAGCGACACCCATCCGCTCGCAGGGCATAGCGTGTCGCCGGGTCCGCCTCCGCGACACGCTAAGCACAAGATCCCGACAGTACTTCTTCTCGGGAACAGCATTTATTTGTTTGCGGGGCCGTATGAGCATCAAGCCTGTCCATAAAATGTGGCACGCACCTGAGCAGAATATTGCGAGACGGCGTGAGATAATCGGCCGTGGGCGCCAAGACAGACAGGAAGGCACACGTCACATATGAAGGCGGGCGCACGGCACAATCGCACGTGTGGCGCAGATTAAGGGAGTGAAGTGAAATGAAGCCAGCAGCCTAACCAAAGGCGGCAACATTAGGAGGGGATATGCCCTGGGGGGTACATCGACCCCCAATCGCCCAATCATCGCCAATAGGGGCCCGATAGCCAATCCCGCCCGTGACCGCTCGGATTTGCTATCGGGAGCTTATCGCCGATGTATCGGAAACGTATCGCCGATTCCAGGTCGATGCTTCCCCCCCTGGGCCGATTGCTTTCTAACGTTGCCCCTCAGGCGGCTTCTCTGCAAGTTGGACTGCTCTGTCCAGGTGAGCCCAGACTTCCAGGCGAGAGACATGTTCAGATGAGTTGTCTTCGTCCTCGTCGGTTTGGGGGGGGTTCTCGCAGTGGGAAAAGTTCACCTGCATTATACGGTCTTGGAGGCCTGCTGGGACGCAATCGTTGCAACAGCTGGGTCCCCCTGTGATTCTGGCTGCAACGCGCCGATGGACGGGTCCCGAGATGCGTTCCTCCTGCGGGCTCAGACTTCGAGGCGAGGCACGTTCCCAGACCTACTGGTCCGGCTGCTTCCATCGCCGCGCGTTTCCTCCACTTCGGCCTCCCCAGCCTCCCGACGTCGTGCTTCTTGTTCGCAATGTCGCCCGCCAGAGGTCTCGACCCCTTCCCCGGGACCCGTTCTTCACACCGAGCCGTTTTTTGGACGGTCCCAAGGCCCGCTTCAGGGCTCCCGGAGGCCGAAAATAGCGAGAACCCTGTGCCCCGTCGTGATTCAGGAGGGAAAGGAACACACAGGCACAATGAATCGTCGATTCCCCCAGGAAATGTGGGAAAGCATGATGGGAAGTGGGGGGGGGAGACCAAAAACCCAGAAACTATGGGACAAGATGGGGAATGCTGCCTGTTATTGGTGCGTAGCTGTTTGTGTGCCCCAGGGCCCCTTCAAACAGCGAGAACCCCCCCCCGTCGCGGTGTCTGTCGCAGCGCACGAGGCAGTATGGGAAGTGGGGGGGAAGACAAAAACACTGAAGCTATGGGAAAATATATGGGGAATCTTGTTATTGGTGCGTAGTTGTCTGTGTGTCCCAGGGCCCCTTCAAACAGCGAGAAGCCCCCCCCCCCGTCGTGGTGTCTGTCGCCGCGTGCGAGGCTGCATAGGGGTCCAGGAGGCCGCTCGCGAGCCCCGCGGCCATCCAACACACGGAGCGCCGGGGTCCAGAACGACACTTCGGTCGGGCCTGTCCCCCCTGGCATCGCTCGGACGTGTGCATTTTTCCTTCGGCAAGGGCCATCGAGGAGCATCCTTGATCATTTGGCGAAAAAAATATATCCCAGTGTGACCCTACCTAGGAGTTGGAACCCCTAGGAAAGCAGCATTAGTAGTAACAGTAACGCTAAGCTAAAGCTAGGCTAAAGGTAGGCTAAAGCTAAGCTAAAGCTAAACTAAAGCTAAGCTAAAGCTAAGCTAAAGCTAAGCTAAAGCTAAGCTAAAGCTGAGCAACAGCTAAGCTAACGCTAAACTAAAGCTAATATAAAGCTAAGCTAAAGCTAAGTTAAAGCTAAGTTAAAGCTAAGCTACAGCTAAGCTAAATCTAATATAAAGCGAAGCTAAAGCTAAGCTAAAGCTAAGCTAAACGCTAAGCGAAAAGCTAAGCTGAACGCTAAGCGAAACGCTAAACTAAAGCTAAGCTACAGCTAAGCTAAAGTTAAGCTAAAGCTAAGCTAAAGCTAAAGCTAAAACTAAGCCTAAAGCTCCCAGGGGACTGGGGGGAACCGCTCCCAGGGGACTGGGGGAACCGCCCGGGGCGCTTTCCACTGCCCGGCCCCTTTAAGCTAAGAGAGTAAGAACCCTTCTAGGCAGAGCCTAGGTAGGGAAAAACACGCGCGAAACCAAAAAAAACAGGGAATGGTCCGAGCGATGGCGAGCCCCCTACGGGGGGATTTTCGACGAAAAATAAAAGAAATACCCCACAAATAATCAACAAATAGTCCAACAATGGTCCGGGGACTATTCGTTGAGTATGTTTTGGCCTTTGGGGGGTATCTTTGGGGTATGTTTTATTTCTCGTCGAAAATCCCCCTGTAGGGAGACAGGCCCGACTTAACACTACACCCACGGGGGACCGCGAGCCGAAGAAGTCGTCGTCTCGGGGGAGGTCATGGACCTCCAGGCGGGCAAAGTTTCTGTTATTTCTGGCCTCGGAGGGACCTCACGGGGCCCCAGGACCGTCAAAAGACGGCTCAGGATGACAAGCCCGTGCCGGAGAAGGGGCCGTCTCGAGGTCCACGTCGTGGAGACGACGTCGCGGTTTTCGAGTGGTTTCGTTGGTTCTTCTTGGAGGTGTTCTCGCCTCGGGATGCCTTCCAGCAACTGCGCCTCACCAAGAGCGCTCTGGGGCTGCCCAGATCGTTCCGATCGGCAAGAGGGGGTAAAGACTAGGGGGTTGTCATGGCGTGGGCTGTGACATTTCCTCAGATGCCCTGGCGCCTCTTCTTACTTGACTACGTCCCTGCCCCCCCCGCTGGGCCGCGCACATGCCGCCGGCCATGATTTGCCCCCCCCCCCCCCCCTCTTTGACGCCCCCCTCTTGGCCGCCCCCCGCGAGGGATGGACAAAACATTCGGGAAAAGAAGTTGGGCCCCAGGATGGGGTCCAGACCTCCAGGGGTCCACGCTGTGGAGAGATCGCGATGCTGGAGCTCTGGGCCAGCTTCTGGGCAAGGCGGAGGAGCGAGGAGGAGGAGGAGGAGGAGGAGGAGAAAGAGTAGGAGGAGGAGGAGCGAGGACGAGGAGGAGGAGGAGGAGGACGAGGAGGAGCGAGGACGAGGACGAGGACGAGGAGGAGGAGGAGGAGGAGGAGGAGGAGGAGGAGGAGGAGGAGGAGAAGGGAGACTGTTGGGAAAGGAGAGCTTGTAACATCTGCTGCGCGCAAAACTGGTTCCGACTCGGCCGCCGGGCGCTTTCCTCGGTATAACCCGCGGTCTCTTTTCCGCCGCCGTTGGGGACGCTGGGGAAACTGGCTGCGTCCCGCCGATTCGCTACCCTCGGATGAAGTCAGGCATGTCCCACTACAGGAGGAAGATTCAAAAATAGTCCGACATCAGTCTGGGGACCATGTTTCTACTATTCATGACGACTAGGTTTGAATACGTTTGACTTTTTTTCCTATTTACTCCGAAGGCCGCCTGTAGGAGGACATGCCCGACCTAACCCTCGAAGGAAGGCCAGCTGAGATAATGGCAGCAGCTCTCTGGCCGGGCCCACGTCCGCTCAAAGTCTGTTCCTGGACCCATCCCGCGACCCGTCTTCGAAAGCGGATCCAGCCGTGGCGACGACCAGTTTCCAGGAGGCTCCGATCGGGGGAGGAGGAGGAGGAGGAGGAGGAGGAGGAGGAGGAGGAGGAGGGGGAGGAGGACGGCCAGGGCGACGACCAGTTTCCAGGAGGCCCCGGTCGGACAAGGAGCACCGGGGAGGGCTCTCGACTGGCTCTCCACCCAGACACCCGACTCCATGATACAGTCGGGGCCCTGAAGAAGGAACCCTGTTCGTTGGGGAGGGGCTCCGCGTTCCTGAAGTGTTTCACAGCTTGCCTCAGGTGTTCCTTATGTCTTCGATAGGAAATCGAAGTTTACCCAATGGGAAAAAAAGGGGCCTCGTTCCTTATTTAGGGTTCCTTAGATCAAGGCCCCGACTGTAGTTCCGCGACGTGGGCCCCCCAAGAGGTCTGGACCCGTTCCTGGGGGCCCGTTGTTGCCTCATCGCCTCGCCAGCGGCACGCAAGCTCGAAGCTATTGCTCAAAATCTCCCGTCGCTTTTTCTCATGATGCAAAAGAGGTCTGGTCCCGACCCCCCCCCCCAAGGAGGAGGAGGAGGAGGAGGAGGAGGAGGAGGAGCCGGAGGAGGAGGAGAAGGAGGAGGAGGAGCCGGAGGAGGAGGAGGAGGAGCCGGAGGAGGAGGAGGAGCCGGAGGAGGAGGAGGAGGAGGAGGAGGAGGAGGAGGGGGAGAAGGAGGAGGGGGAGGGGGAGGAGGAGGAGGAGCCGGAGGAGAAGGAGGAGGAGGAGGAGGAGGAGGAGGAGGAGCCATCTGCTACAGATCATCCCCCCCGTTCGTCCGACCCGACCGGCGTGGCGGTCCGCGACGGTGGCGGCTGGGCCGGGTGCCGCGCGGACGCGGGGCCGGGCTGCCAGGGGATCGTCGGGGTGAACGACCCCGCCTCGGCGCCGCTGTAGCCGTCCGCTGCCTTCCTGGCTTGTCCTCATTCCAAGAACTCTAGCGATATGATGTGATATTTTCGGCCGGCGTTTGTGTCATCGATTTCGGCGCTCGGGGCAGTTTTCGGGGCCTCGCGAGGCCATCAAAAACGTATCTCGGACGAAGATAACTTCCCAGGGAAAGGAGTCGGCTCTGGGGCCGCGCGTGGAAATAGCCCGAGACGTACCCAACCCTTTCTCCGCGCGAGGCGAATGCAACCTGTTTGAGACTGGATCACCAGAGCGAATTTGGAGCACCAAGAAAGTGCCGAAGCTGAATGGTTTCCACGTGTCGGGCCCTGGTAGGCCGAAAGTCCTTCGACACTTCGCTAGCGCGTCGGGCACACCGTTTCGATACTTGTCTGGGCGCCCGAAACTGTTTCTGGGACGTGG